GCAGTAAGTCTTCTTCTTCAGACAGAAACTCGCAACAAACCAATCAAATTAACACTCCTGTATGAATCGCTCTGTCCAGATTGTCAAGTCTTCATCTCGAAAATACTCTATCCGAGTGTTTATATGCAATTCAACGATTACGTTGATATCGAGCTTGTTCCATATGGTAACGCTAGAATACAGGTCAGCCTTACTCGCATTTTGTCCACAGATTCTGCATATTGATCCAATCGTTAGTTCTCAGCGATTCTTGATCACCAAAACGATCGAGTTGACCTTTAGATAATTCCATTTAATCACATCGATAAACCATTCGACGTTCCTCAGCTTTATCATTATTATTATTATTATTATTATTATTATATTAATAAATAATCACTGAAATTATTACGGCTCTATCTTAGTAATATCAGATTCGAATATCCAAGTTTATCACAATATTAAAATTAATTATGAATGAAACTTTTAGAATGGTACGATTGTATGTCAACACGGGCGTGAAGAGTGCATGATCAATCGCTTTGAATCATGCGTTATCGCAACGATTCCAGGAAGGAATGCACCTTTGCCTTATATATATTGTCTTGAGAAGCAAATTGCAGCAAGAACCAAATTCGAGGACGCTGTCAACAAATGTTATCGAACACTGAAAATCTCGAAGCAAATCCAGAACGCAATCAAGTAGGTGCACAATTCTTTGGTGAACATTGTCTTTCTATGGACGAATTTATAATTTCAGAAATTTTATGGTTTTCAAGCTGAATTATTTTTTGCTCGCAACTGATCCACATCAATTTCTTCGAAATCTTCCTTGCTTCGACCATCACCGAAAAATATGCTGGCTCATAGGTGGAATTTCAAAACCTCTGAAATCATATTGATATTGATTGATCTTGTTGATCAACAGCAAACCAATTGCATGCTATAAAGACAAATATCTCAATCACTAGTCACCATATATCTGATGAATAAGCTCTCAACAATATTGACCAATAATCAGCATGTTAACGAAAATCTTCATGATGATTATTATTCACTATCAATGTTCCAGCAAAACGTTGAAGGAGATAACTCTCATAAGTCCCATGCAAATATCTTCGAAACCATTTGCAGCGTTTGTGTGGTGAGTGGTCTCGGGGATCGTTTGCAGTTGGCTGCAGCCAAACGAACCGACCAGATCTATCCGGATAAACACGATCACGTTCCGTGGATGTTATTCAGTAACGTCAGTCTCGCACGAGCACAGTCGATACAGTACTCGTTACCATCCAGCATATGCCAATGGTATAATGGCGATAAAATGCCACGTGCATGCAACCAAATGGAGCATTCTTCTTGTGTCAAAAATAACTGATTTGCTCATCAAATGTAATTTGCGTAATAGTTTTGCCAATTACAAGATGAATATCTATCTCATTTTTATGTAAAATTTCGTTTTCACCTAAAATTCCAACTTTTACAAAAACTTTCTATCTGTCACTTATTCATCAATGTGTACACCTCAAATCACCATGGCAAAAAACCCGATCCGAATGTGCATAGAACAAAACTGCATAG